AGAGCACTTTTAAGGACAGAATAAATGTCTCTTTCAGGCAGGCTGTTAATATATTTTTCTCCTCAGCATCTTGGAGCCCTCTGCTGCATGATGTCCTCTGTGGGGCTCGCTCACGCCTTGTTTACCTGCACAGAGAATGCCTGAGTGCCAGAGCTGTGTTTGCTGGATTGGAACAGACACTGCTCTTTGTGCTCCTGAGATAAGAGGTTGCAACAGTCAAGCTGGTTTTGTGCATCTCAACCACAAAATATGATCTTAATAATTACTGTGAATCAACTAAAATAGCAACTCATATCTTCTTCCCAATAGCCATAAATGTAAAAGGCGCTCTTAATTTAGTGCTTTTTCATCTTGCTTCACGTGTTTGAGAATATTTATTCCAACAAACTCACAAAATCTCCTTTCAGCAACAAAGCACAAGCTGTAAATTGTCCCATACCTCAGTTTTCTTTCAAAGCTCAGACAAAGGATTGCTCTTGCCCTTTTCATATTATGCCCACATAAATCAAAGCCCAGTAAAGGACAAGTCAAGTAATCTGAGCAAACAGCCTACACTAAATATACGACTGGATTGTTGCATGTCACGCTTCCCATTAGTCACAGATAGAAACTAGAAACTTCTGACAAGGTTGACAAAGCTGAGAGTAGAGCCATGGCATCACGGACATATTCAACAAGCCTGTTAACTTAGGACTCCATCATGCACAGCTGATAGAGCACTGACTGAATTTCTTTCTTCCTTCTTCTTGTTTTACAGCCAATGTCCTTTCTTCTTGGAACAACACTTGTGAGCTGTGCAGCACCCTCTAATTATGATGGTTCAGTGATGGAACTGACTCCATGTCTGTCCAGATGTGTTTTCATGCTTTTCTCAGATATAGTCAGCCCTGTTCTCATCTACGTGCCAACTCAATTTTATATTCTGAAACAATACTGACAGGGGAAGAACAGAGACGTCATCTCCCTCCTGTTACACTGAACATCATTGGCTGATATAAATTGGCAACAACTCCATTAAAGTCGGGACAGCTACATCAGCTTTATCGTGTTTGATGGTCTGCCATCTGATGATCTGTGCAACTCAGCTGATGGCCACACAGGGACTTTTTTCCCAGCTGCACTGCTGAGAAAATGACCTTGTTGCCCAGTCAGAGGTTACAGAAGTGAGGACACACATGTAGTAAAAGAGAAGATGCCCAGCCCACTGGGGTTGTAATGACCCAGTGTCAGTAATGAAGGTGTAAAGTCTGTTTCACAAGCCCCTCATTGGTGGTGCTGCCACAAGCACATGGTAGAGCCCATCTGCAGCTGTGCCATCCTGCCTGTGATACAGAAAACCCAGTTATCACAAATGAACATGAATAATTAAATACTTTGCAGTCTTGAGAAAGTGATTAAAAGCATGTAAGGTAGACTTATAGATGTTTTATATTTTGAAATAAACAGTTTTCTACTATTTACACTGACAAACTGATAGATATTTATATTATCACTGAATATAAGAGAGTAGAAGAAGCATCTATCACTAAGAACACAGAACTGACCTGCACAATCCATGTGTAAGACATCTAGCCGGGAATAAAGCCTGTGGCAATGAGACAATAGCATTACTGCTGTGCTCAGAGAACATCAGCCAAACACACTGAACCACAGAACTGTGGGACCTGGACGCAATTGCCATCCACAGCAAGAAAAATGTCATGCTATTCAACACTTACAGTCACACTCAGCTATTACAAGACACAGATGTTGCTACTGAGCCATTTTCATGCGGACCTGCAAAATTCCTGATATTCTGTGAACGTTGCCAAATGCTGCCTGGCATCTGCTATGAGGCAACTCAGCCTACTCTAAATGAATAAACTGAATCTGTTTCAAAAGACAAGAGTTGCTCAATGTCTCTATAATTTGTTCATCTGCAGATTTTGCAGTACTTCTACGACAGTGATTCAATGGTAGCAAAAAACCACATGGAGGAAAACCAAAAGGAATGAGGTTGATGAACTAAAGCAGTACCTCAAGCAAGTTACCTGTCATTTATAATGGAGTGCAGCCAGCTAGGAGAGGAATGATAGGAGACAAAGTCTAAAATTGAAACCACAAAGTGATGTTCTGGAGGAATGAAGACGAAGGCAGCAAAACAAAAAGAAAATTACTGGAAAGTATTTGCATTTAAACACAGAATGTTTGAGAGCAGAATCATCTATTGTAAATTTTAATTAAAGTTATTCCTTATATACAAAAATTTCTCTGCACACGAAAGTAAGACGGAGGCAAACTAGAACTTGCCCTCCAACTTACAGGGTAAGGCCAGTACAGCTCTCTGATTAACCCATTTGTTATTGTTATTCAGTTTATCCTAACCTATTCTAGCAGGGATTTAAATGAGGCCAGAAAGCCACCCTAATTTTGGAATTAAAAGAGCCCCACTGGGACTCTGGTATGCCAATTTACTATTCCAGTTAAATGGTCACTCTTTTTAAGAAGAAATAGCAAGCCCTACACAGATGCAATTGCCTCGTGACCCATTAATGACAGCAATAATATTGTTGTCTGTTGTTGCTAATGGCAAGTACAGTACTGACAGACAGGCATGTTTTCTGCACCACAGCAATAGCCAGCTTTATAATCTAATAACATATAAGAATTACAGCTACCATTTTTAATATCTTCTTGGTGCCATACAGTATTTGGGAACTACCTTAGGAAAGGATGCACATCTCAGTTAATGCAGGTTGGGATCATTGATTAATTATTATTACTTCAGGACTAGCATTCTGCTTGGTACTACAAAAAGCAAAAAATAAGACAGCTTCTGCAATGAGAAGTACAGACTGAAAGAGATAAAAATGCTGGGGAGAGATGGCAAGCAATAATGACCAAATGTTTTGTAAGGGCACAGCTTCTAGGCTAGCCCCCATCTTGGTGCTTGCTTTTCCACCTTCATGGAGCTACTGTCTGCACATTTCAAAACTACACAAACTTCCTGTTATGGTTGAATACCAACATGGTATTTGAGCTAGACTAAGATGTACCACTAACTCTGGATGCAAAGCAAATAACACAGTAACTAACTGTACTTTGCAATTACACTACTTCTCAAAATGCTGATGTTAATAAGCAAACAAGAAAATATCATGCTATTCAACAGGGAGAGAAATGGAGGCAAGAGCAGTGGTAGTGGTAGGCAAGGGTCAAGGAAAAAGCTGTGAGGGGAACTCAACAGTCTTTCTGAACCTAAGTCCATTTTTTATAAGAGCCCATGGTTCACTGCAAAGATAACAAAGGCCAAGTTTTGCTTTTATAAAGCAGAGAGATTTCAAGAAAGTGTCAAATGAACCTGTCAAACTTCAAATCCACTACTAGCTCAGTAGGAAATGTGACATAAAAAATAGGAGGGGAGAAAAAGACCCAATAAAGTTGTCTTCAGAAATAGGAGTTCTGAATAACATATTGCCTGGTACATGGGAGAGCACAATCATTTATTTTCTGAACATGGCCAAATTAATCTATTTTCAAATGGAAAGACATCTGAGACAACTATCTACTATCATATGTGGTCTGATATTTTCCAGTAATTTCAGAAGTTAAATGTCAGTAGAGGTCTCAGAGCTAGAATCAAAGAAAGGGAAAAATTACACTAAACGTGTCAAATTGCCCTCCTTCTGGTACAGACACAGACAGGCAACTGTGACCATTGAGAACACTGAGAGAAGGAAAATGTCCCCAAATGGTAGGGCAGCTTCAACAGAGAGATTTATTCTTTTTGTTTTGGGGATTTCACAACTTTACTTGCAATTGTAGTGGGTCAACCCCGGCCAACAGGTAAGCGGCTACTCACTCACGCCCTCGTTCCTTTACCAGCATGATGGGGCAGAGAACAGGAAGAAAAAAACAAGAAAATCTGTGAGTTGAGAGGCAGTTTAATAAATGAACAGGGGGGAAGAAAAAAAAAACCCACCAAACAAAATTGTAACCAAGCAATGCAAAGGCAGTAACTCATTACCTCCCACAAGCAGACCAATGCTCAGGTGTTCTCTGAGCAAGCACAAACTTGGAAGACACCCCTCTCCCCCTCCCTTCCTCTACCACCACTTTCACTGCTGTATTTGATGCTGTATGGTACAGGATACCCCCTTGGCCAATTCAGATCAGCTGTCCCTGCTGTGTCCCCCTGCTAACTTCTTGCCCCTCTTTACTGTGGAAAGTGGGTGCAGAGTGTAAAATAAGAGAAAGTTCAGCTATAGTAAAAATATTGATGTTGGAGCCACAAACCACAGCACCATATGCTGAAAAATATTTGAAAGATGGAATATTTTGGTGTGGTATGAATGATTTCCTTCTGCAAATTGCTCAATCATACTTAGATACTTATCTGTTGTTATTTATTATTTTTAGATGTTTGCTATTGTTAGTTGTTTACTATTGTTACTTATCTGTTACTAAGTACCTATTCTTAATAAATATTTAAAATAGAGACTCCAAAAGGCAAAGGCCTTGTCAAGCCTCTAAAGGATGATGCCTGAAGTTTTAGCATTCATATTTTTAGATTCCATGCTGCCTAGGTGTGTAGTTCTGACCTCATATTAAGTGTTAGTAAGTTCTCTTCACAGAGCAGGTATGAGACAAAACAATTCCTTTTCTAGCTTGAAACCAAGGACAACCATCACAAGTTTCAGGCCCAAGAGCATATGCAACAGTGGACTGAAGAAAGAAAAAAACAAGGATGGGATTTCATAATCTGAAGGTGTAATTGGACAATTAACCCCAATATGCAAATGGACCAAAACTTATAAAAGTGTGAGACCTCATGACCGGTTGTTCATTTTTTGTGACCATTTTGGGTTCATCTTGGGCATTGCCCTGGCCAGGCTCTTGTCTTCCCCAAGGTGTATCCATCAAAGTCTTTAATTAAATTACCTCTGTCTATCCTCTGTTCTAGGTCAGCCTTCTCAAGGTATCATGGGAAGCTGAAACTGTCACAGAAATCAGGCAGAATGTTAAACTAATTTAGAAAAAATATTTTATTCATAAAATGACTCAGCATTGGTGCACAGACAAAGTATCTTGGAGCTAGATTATTTAGTCCCTGAATACAAAAGTCAGAATAATTTTTTTCTTCCTTCAATACTGAAAACTAAAATAGTAACAGAAAAGTTATATCCAGAGGAGGTGCTGTGAGACCTCAGCTTCTTGTCTTCGGATGTGTAAAACTGAGGTGTCCAACACTTTGTAGGATCACTTCCTATGGTGAGATCATTGAATGAGTAATGGGCATGTTAACTTTCCTTGAAATAATAATAATTGTTCCAAATAACCATAAAACCTTGATTCTCCAAAACATATGATGTAGGAATGCAGATGCTGTCTTCCTTTACTCTCAAGCAGAGAGGCAAACCTTAATGCAGAAACAATATACATGATAAACACATAAGTTTTACAAAAAACAGATTTTATGTTTTAAAGTCGGACCTCTAACTTCACAAGAACAAAGAAAGTAAAGAACTCACATTAGTATCCATGGCATTTTAAAATATTTGCTACCAGTTGTAAACATTCCTAAGGATATATACATTGCTATCAAACACTGGTAAAGGCAGTACAAGATACACAGGGAATTTCCTTTTAGCAGTGAAGACATCATAATAGTCATCCCAGCTGGATGTCATAGGAGTGACAGGTAAGTCACTCTTAGAATGACATCTAAGAATGCACTGGATACAAAAGTCAACTCTTTCTTTGGTTTTGAAACACATTCAGATATGAAGAATACACACACCCACCCCACCCCACTTTCTTTTGTATTGTCAGGGGATTTTTTTCTAGAAGTCCCACCACTGGAAATTATCTGTACAGATTTCTTCTGAAAATAAATCTAACAACAGTTTTCAGCACAGGTATCTTCGTTCTTCAAATCTTCAAAAAGGCAACCTATAAAAGGAAGCAAAAACAATACTGTGATTAATTTCAACATTGCAGGTAAAACAAAGATGCTTCTTTGTCACGATAAAAATTATATAATAATCCTTTTACTTAATAACACACTAGTGCAACGAGAAAACAGAGGCTGTATTTGTTCTTTTTCCACCCACCTCTCCTCTACCTAACATGTCTCCTAAAAATTCCCAAACTTTCTTTTTTTGCTCAAGCACTGCCTGCTTTGCAGAACTAAAACTTTTTTTCCTCCCAGGATAACAAAGAATGTTTATCTCATCTAACTTCAAAGGCTATTTGATAGTATTTTGAAACTAGCTAAGATTAAATCTTTGACACATTCCTAGTTTTGTCTGAATATTAGTTTGTTTGAACAGTGCTGTCACTCTAAGTCAAATCCTGATTCCAAAGTCACGATGAGAAGTCCAAAGTCATAAAGAAAAATGTCTTACATTTTGAAATAACCAGGAACCAAAATCTTACCAGAGGGGAGAAGACAAATACTTGTATATGATCAGAAGATAGCAAATGATATACCTCTTCTCTTTACTGCACTAAGTGAACTGTCTAACAGCTATTTAGAGGGACGGTGATCTATCAAATACGAGAGATCTATAGGATTTCTGCTGTCCCAAACTCATTTGTTCTTGGTCACATGCATGCAGCAGTTTCTCCTGTAGGATTTTGGTTTTGTTTAGTGTTCTTCAGGATCTGCAGTATTCTAATGCAGAAAACTAAGTTAGCTGACTGGAAATGACATGTCCAGATCCTTATCTGACAAGGAGATTGCTTCACATATTTTTTGTTGATCACAAACACAGAAAAACAGTTGTACAGATGCCTTCACAAAAATGCAAGAAGAAAGAAAGAAAAATGACTACCAGGTTACACAACTGTCTTCTGAAAAGATACAACCTATTTCTCCTGTCTGATGAAAAACATACAAGAAAAGAACTTCTGAGACAGACACTTCCTCTTTTGTTCTCTCCAAGAGCTTTCAACAGTCACTTAAATGAAGATTAAAATTACCATCAACTTTAGATTTTCAGAGATGACCCCAATCACCACTCTACTCAATACTGTGACAAAAGAACTCATGAAGCATGATCAACCAGAAGGAATTAAATGCAAGCATAAAATATCACTGAGTATTCAGAGCAGAGGTTAAAACAGAGTTAAAACACTCTTTTTAGATCCTGTGCCCAAAGTATGTTTAAGAGAGTTCTAGGTCTGCTATAAAGAATAATAATTAAAAAAAAAGCTGCAATTTTTAACATATCTAAGATGGCTCTCAGAGAATCAGTCATACAAAGGATTCATGTCTAAGTAAGACATCTCCAAGGCATAAACGCGACATGACAACAATTCTTGGTTAAGAATAGAAAAAAAAATCATTCAAACTCACTTCCTGAACACTCTTTTGCTACTCCAAGACTAACAGCAATAAGCCAGTAGAAAACTGCAGTTACTGCATGGAAGGGTTTGTACAGTCAACACAACTGAGATCCCTGAAATCTCCCACATTTCCAAATCACTCTTTTCTTCTTCCAAACTGGAACTAAAATTCAAAAACAAAAATTTTCATGTCTTATAGTAAACAGAAGGAAGAAATTCTTTATGGTAAGGATAGTGAGGCATTGGAACAGGTTGCCCATGTGGAATTGGAACCATCCTGCCATTGGAACAGGATTCCCCATCCCTGGAAGTACTCAAGGCTAGGCTGGATGGGGCTTTGTGTAATCTGGTCTAGTGGGAGGTGAACCTGCCTGTGGTGAGAGGCTGGAACGAGATGATCTCTAAGGTCCTTTCCAACCCAAACCATTCTATGATTCTATGATTTGAAGAACATACACTTTCAGAAATGTCTATAGGCAAACCATGCCAGCAATCAGCTGGCTGGCCAGCATGGAAGTTGGCCTGCATTTCCCATGCAAATCTCATCACACTGACACATTCCCATAAAGTGTTTTTTTCAGCTCCATCAGCATTTTCCAGCAGTAAGCTGCTACATCAAAATAATTTCTGTCAGCTCATCCAAGGGATGTTGTAAAAGCCAGAGACTACTCATCATGTAGGGAAATTTATCCACTATGCCAAAGATTCCCACCCTAAAAGACAAAAATTGAAAGCAAAATCAATATGCTTGTCACCTTTCCTCATGATTTAGTTGCTCAGATGAATAGAGACATATACATAATTATGAGCAAATGCAAAATCTTAGCTCTGTGCAAAAGTCATAAAGCTGTACAGGCTAGGAATGAAACCCTGGCACCAGTCAAATCAATGTGACAAAACTCACATTGACACTAACAATGTGCGAGATTTGTCCTTGCATTGCAAGGAAAAAATAGAAAAATCAAGAAAAGCAATAACCCTCTCAATACACAAGACTCAAATTTTAAGCAGCTTTTTCTGCCTGAGACTGCAGACTCCTTTGTACACAGTTTTGAAGTGCCATTAGAGTGGATATATTTGTTTAATTTGTCTGCTTGCTATATTTTATAATGCATAAAATACACTTTACTTCTGCTTTATAAGAGAGTTATTTGCAACATAATGCTTCCCTAGACTGCTAGGCTCTCCTACTGTCCAATAAACTGAAAAGCAACAAAAGCAATAAATTATTAGTGTCTGTGTTTATATTTACTGCCAATGTGAATGAAAAGAGCACATTAGATCATTCCTACAGCTGACATACCAGCAAAAAAAAAAGTAAATCAAGCTGTTTAAAAAACACCTGCAACCCATGAAAGTATTTCAGAACAAAATCAGCTGAAACAAAACCACTTATGAAGTTTCACCTTATCCATCCACACTTCCGTATGAAGCATATAAATATCCCTTTATTATCCTGTTACTGTAGATGCAGTTTGATATCTAAACAGCAGTAAATTATATGTTCTACATAATAAATGAATTACTATAGGATGGGAAAATGGGATTACTCATTTGGCATTACTCAACTGGTTCTCCCCCAGTTTTCTATCTATTAGGATACATTCTCGACAAGACAGACAACTAGTAGCTTCTTCCAGCTTTAGTAGCAATGCTTTCAGCAAAGTCTGCACATCCAGTATTTCACTGCTATGACAGCATTTTGAAAGAAAAATAATGTGCCAAACATCTCATCTACAAAGGTTTATTACTAAATTTAGAACACAAGTCAGTTCTCTAATCAGTTTTTTTACTGACCTTACCTCAGCACATTGTCCCCTTCTTAAAGTGCTCAGATACTCCTTCAGTAAATAAAGCAGCGTCAGCTTTGTTAAAATTTCTTGGCGTCAGGACAAGTTAAGAAATCCAGGTACTGATGTTCAATTTTAGAAGATGTGTTCTCCTGATTTTCTCAGGAAAATCATAGAATGGTTTGGGGTGGAAGAGACCCATAAAGATAATCTAGTTCAAATTTCACTTGCCATGAGCAACCTGGTCAAGTGAAGTATGTCCAAACACTGAGGAGTAAAAGGTGAAAGAAAATAATTGCAACTTCTTAAAATATTTTTTAAACTATGGAGACCTAACCAATTTAGAGATAAAAGAAGGTGGTTCCAGACAGCTGAAGGTGGTGAAAAGAAATCTCTTCTACTAAGTACTAACACTAGGTGAGCTGGCAGAGTGGATGACTGCTGTAAGAGAAACAGGAGCATGAGAGAAGCAGCTAAACAACATATTTTAAAGAAATGCAATCTGCAAATCAACTAAGCAAGGAAAAAGAAGTTCAATCTTTGAATCAGCTGCAAGAACCATCCCAGGAGCCAGATTCTTACTTCCACAAAACAGGAAATAATACATCAAAAGTTGCATTCCCACGTTGTAACACAAGCTTTGAAACTGTTCTTACATTGCTCTCTTTTAAGGAGTCCAAGTGAATGGTGCATAAAAATCCCTATGTATGTTTCTCGAAGCTGACAATGAAGGATTCTTAATACTTATGTCTCTCCTAAGAGCTAAACGAAAGTATGGAGAAGATACAGAATTTCTCTTTAGTTTTAGAGAGGGAATTGTACTTCAATTTACTCCTGCATAATTATAAAGGAAAATAGTGGGTTGAAAGTAGATATGCATGCTTCAGTTTCAGCAGAAGAAATTAAAGCTCTGAATGCTTCCTAAAATATGACTGCTGTGGTTTTTTCCACTGCACAACAAATAATAAAACACCACCCAGCTCAAACCTGAAGTTTAAATGCATAAAAGACATTTTACTGCTGTCTTCTTTGAACATTAGACAATTTTTAAACACTACCATGCCCAGTTCATAATGCTACATTGCGTTTTAGAAGAACACAACTTACATGACTATCTTAAATCATATCTACTGCAACAGACAGTCTGTACATAGACAGATACCCATGCTTTAATCCTGCACATGTGCTAGTGTGAAATCAGGCGTGATGAAACGACTGCAGAGGAAATGCTGATTACACACCAGCAAGGCTACAGCCTACAATCAACATCAAATGCTGTATTTATTTCCACTCAAGGCTGACAGGTAATCAAGCAATGCCATGCCATCCATGTGCAAAGGAAGAGAATAACCTTCCCAAAAAGACAAGGACAGCCGTGGGCAGACCTCTGCTCCTAGATCCAGCTGTGCTGGATGATACTAATCTCACAGGCTCATGGTGTCTCTCTGCTGCAAGTTACCATTCCTCTCTTCCCACAAAAGACCACTTCAGAGTATCTCCTACTGTCTGGTGAATTCAGACTAATGCACCAAACTCTGCCCTCTGATCTGCACTGAATGGATGGGTCTATCCTAGAAACAAGAAAGGGAGGGCTTGCACAAACAATTCTCCTGGCAGATCACAGGCGAGAGACAAATCTCTGGTGGAAATGAGAGTGAAAAGTTGAGGACAGTGTTTTTTTCTACATGTACAGCTGGATTTGAAAGATAGCATATACTCAAAGCCTCAGACCAGTCTAATACATCCAGATTTGTATTGCTACAAATGTTATGGCTAGTGCTAAGTGTCATAGCTTAAGCCTTAATAACTACA